GCAGTGCTCATCGATGTCATCATTCCAGTACTGATTATTTCCAGCCCTGGCTCTGCTGTTAGTCCTTCTGTCATTTGTGGATATGGTGGATCAAGACCCATGGCCCCTGGGACCTCAGGTCTCTTGAGCCATCCATGGAGCATCCAGGGAGTCTCTGGCATGATGTCTAATGCCAGTGCTAGAGATGGGAGTTGCTGTCCTGGTTGCTGGAATGCTGTGCTGGAGGGACAGGATGGGGGTGTCAGATCTGGGTCATTGAAACTCTGTAGCCCAAGGGTTTCCAGAGTCTCAGATGATTGCTGTTGGGGGTCATGGGGGGTATGTGTGCTGCTGACACTGCTCCTCTTCTTCCCTAGGATGTTCCTAAGTTGAGCTCCCAGGGATGTTTTCAGGGTCTGTTCCTTCTGTGGGTTGGAAGGACTGTCAGACAGAGGCAGGGATGTTGTGGAGGGGGAGGTCTGGTGTGACATTTTGGAGGATGGTTCAAATATGTTGGAATTTGTGATAGTGCCTGATTGTCCAAGCTACAATTGATTGGCATCCATGGCACAGCTGTATGATCACCAATAAACTGATCAAGATTCCTATAATAGATGCCAAGAGTTTGAAGAACTTGTGAGTAAAGTTTGGATCAGAAGGATTAAGGGCAGGTGGCATTCAGTTTCTCAGCATAATTGGGCTTGAGGAAGGGAAGCTAGAAGCTTCAAGCTAATTGTTAAGCCCAAACTCCACATGATAAACAGTTCAGAACCTCACACTTCAGGTTAAACTGTCTGAGTTCACTGATGTGTCAATAGAGGTGTGTGGTCAAGGCATTTGCAAGTCGCTTGAGATAGAATAGTAGAGAATAAACTTTAGCTCAAAGCTGGGGTATTACAGCAAGAGCTACACTACTTAAATACTGTTCTGTTATTAGGCTATTAATAAATGTTCACAAAAGATATTGTCTTTTGTAGAGCTGTTACCCCTGCTGTTGCCAGGCTCTCCACAAAAGCTGTTGTCTTGCTGTTGTGCTGTTGTTGTTGCACTGCAATTGGGGGACAAAAGGAGCAGTGTCTCTCTCTGCACAGTGCACAGCCATGATAAAACAATGACTGACTGGGTTGCTGAGCTAAGCATTCCCACAGTCCTAAGCACTGGCTTAAGTGCTCTGACTAAGCAAAAATAGGGGTCATTTCCAAAAGAAAAAGAAAGAAAAATAGGAAAAATTGTAACAACATGTATCAGCATTGAAAAGTAATCTCTTATCACCCTATCATCTCACACAGGAAAAAGGATTCAAGATCTCAATCACTGGATCAGATGTCACCTTCAACCAAGATGAAAAGGTTTGATTCACTGCAACTGTAAATGAGAGCAATATTGGCTATGTCAATGCTACCACACATTTGTTCTCAAAATTGGCCACTATCATTGCAAACTCAAGCTCCACAAGTACCTGCCAGATGGACAATACACTTTGGCATAGATGTTGCTGTTATCAAAACATGGACACTATATGGCATATGCACACAAAGCAGCTAGTAACTGGAATGAAGCAAGAGTCAGGTCCTTCAACTGATCCTATCTGCACACTACGCCTTGCTGGCAAACAGCATTGCCACAATGTTCTTTGTGGCTCCTCAGATCAGAAGAAACATCTTCTTGAGTGAGTATACAGTGATATCAAAGGTCTAATGCCTGTCACAACTCCAGAGGGCTATCACTACTGGATAACATTCATCTGCAGTATATCTGACACTTGGACCATCACACCTCTGAAGTATAAAAGTGATGTCTTTAATGCCTTCAAGCAGTTCAAAGCATATGTAGAGAATACTCATCCAGAACTCAAAATCATCAAGTTTCAGGAAGACAAAGGCAGTGAATATATGAAAAAGGAGTTTATTGACTTCTGTGCTGAGCATGAGATTAAAAGGCAACACACTGAACCCAATGAACCATACCAGAATGGCACAGCAGAATAAGCCAACCACACAATTGCAGAGGCCATCACTGCTATGCTAAATGAGTCACATCTTCCACCATCATTTTGGAACCTTGCTCTCTGAGTATTCATCCATGTCTAAAATTGCATCCCCACAGATCCTCTTTTGAACACCACACCCTTCACAGAATGGGACCTAAATCATTGAAAACCAGATATATCCCACTTTCATGTGTTTGGATGCTTTGCATATGTGCCAGTATGAAGAAAAAGACATCAAGCATTAGAGTCACATATCCAAAAATGTATCTTTGTTGGATATCCAGAGGGAGTAAAAGGCTGGCTATTCTGGAACCCTTCTATGCAGTGGTTCATTATCTCCAGCCATGCTGTATTCAATGAGCATGTATTTCCTGAAAACCACAGAAATATTATGAATCCTCTCAGTGACAATACACCTCCCACAAATAGACATAACAGCATAGATACTGCTATACCTGATGTGATGATGCCTCATCAAGGGAGAGAGGACATACCTACTGATAAGCCATCTCTGCCATCTGAGCAACTCTCATCATCACCATTCTCACCATCTAAGTCAGCTCCATCCACTCTATCAAATATGCAAACACCTTTAGGATCACCTCTTACTCCACTATCAAGCCTTTCAACATCTCCTACACCCTCATCACCACTCTCATGTCTTCAGGCATGCTTCAAGCCACAATATGACTCCAAAGGCCTTATAATTCCATCTCCAAACACTGGACATGGTTTTTGCCATAAACATTCTAGCACTAATATGATGAACTCACCAGACTCAGATGAATCTGTCTCTGTTTCTACTGATGAAACCACTGCTGAGCCAGAGCTTACTGAGACAGATATTGTCACAGGAATGACTTTTGTATTGCATGATGATGACTATATCATATATACAGAAGCTCTTGAGCTTGCATTTCAGACAGCAGTAGAGACAGCAAACCAAGCATCTGCATCCAATGATGGGCCAAAGACATTTGCAGAGATGATGACTCAGCCAGGAGAGGAAAGTGAAAAATGGTATGACACAGCTCAGTGGGAATTGAATGCACTGCAGAAAAGTGGCACCTTTCAGCTTGTAAAGCTCTCTCCAGAGTGAAAGGCTATAAGTGGAAAATGGGTCTTCAAAGTGAGGTGTAACCCTGATGGATCCATTGAATGCTACAAGGCACACTATGTTGCAAAAGAGTACTCACAGTGGCCAGGTTTTGACTACACTGAAACCTTCTCTCCTACTCCAACATGAGCAGCCATCGGAACAATCCTCACTCTTGCTGCACTTGAGGACTTGGAGCTCTAGAGTGTGGACATCTCATCAGCATTTCTGAATGGTGATCTGAAAGAGGAGGTATACCTTCAACAATCAGAGGGATTTGAGACAAAGAACAAGAGCTGAGTGCTTTGTCTCTTCAAGTCCATCTATGGACTGAAGCAGGCTGAGCATGAATAGCACAAAAAGCTCCACAGCACTATGATCAAGATGGGCTTTGACAGAGTATGCTGTGAACACAGCATATGAGTGTACAAGAGAGATAATGCTCAGATTATTGTCTCTGTGTTTGTTGATGATATAACAATTGCCACAAAGTCCATGGAGTCTGCATGACATGTTGTTGATGACCTTAAGAAGCACTTCAAACTTTATGATCTAGGTCCAACTTCATTCCTCCATGGTGTTGAAATACACAGGGACTGTCTAAACCAAACACTCACACTCTCTCAACCACAGTACATCCAAAAAATCCTAGAATGTACTGAAATGTCTGACTGTAACAGTGTCAGTACTCCTCTTGATCCACATACCAAGCTATCCAGCTTGATGTCCCCTGCTACTCCAGAGGAATGGGAAACCATGTGGCATATCCTATAACTCCAGATCTTTAGCTCTGTAGCATACTTGGCCATCACCACTCATCCTGACATAGCTTTTGCAGTCAGCATTCTATCATAGTTCAGCAAAAACCCTGGATTGAGGCATTGGGAGACTCTGAAATGCCTCCTCAGATACATAAGGAGGACAATCAACTTAAAATTGACATATTCACCTGACACTACAAACCCAGAGCTGTTCAAAGCATACACAGATGCAGATTATGGTGGAAACCCAGACAATGGGCACTTGACCTCAGGATATGTTGTCAAGGTGGGCACAGGCACAGTCAGCTGGATGAGCCAGCTGTAATCTATAGTAACCTTATTGACCACAGAGGCTGAATATGCAGCTGCCATCTCTGCTGGACAGGAAATTCTGTGGCTGCAAAATCTGTTCACAGAATTTGGTTTCCATCATCTGTTGCCATCTCCACTGCTGATTGACAACCAGTCTGCTCTCTCTGTTGCTTGCAATCCTGACCATCATGGTCATGTCAAACATCTTGACCTCTGCTTCTACTGGTTACAAGATGAGGTTGAGCAGAGGCACATACATATTAAACATCTTCACAAAAGCCTTGGAGAAGGAGAAGATGACTCACATGATCAGGCTGTTGGATCTTGAACTCTGAGAAGTATTGTGTCAAGGGGGAGTGTTGCAGGATGACACAAGTACCTGATGTCAACCTTATATAAGCATAGACAGTTTTGTCCTGAGTCAATAATCAACTGCCTTTAAGCAATTGACCATTGTACTCAGATGAGTAGTAGTCATATGTACCTCTGTCTTTAAGCAATTGACCATCATACTCAGCCTGGCCATTATTCACTGCATGAAAATAACCTGCCTGCAACAGTCCCATCATCCTCTACTGAGTCCAATACTTTTCTTTCATCATGTTGAGCACCAAGAAGTGTTGGAATTGAGGTGCTGGTCATTCAGAGGGAGACATATTAGACTCAGAGGAGAGGTATATTTTATTGTATAGAGTAAGAACAGTGGTGGTTCTGAGTCAAGTGAATAGGTATGAAAATGTCAAAATATAAGGTAAGCAGTAAAATATATATAAATAGAATATGATATTAAAGCCATGAAAACCAAATCTCAACAAGAAGACCAGTTCAAAGGGTCCAAGGAAGATGAGATCCAAAGTGAAACATGTCTGTTCCTCTCCTTTTGTTACTTGACCCTCTAGCCGATCATTCTCTAGGGCGATCTCAAGACACTGTGCCCATATGTTGGTTTTTTTCCCTCTTCTTCTCAATGACATATCAACTCAACATCATCCAGGCATGCTACAGGCCCCCTCTGGCATCTAATCCTGTTTATCCAAGCCTCTCTCCTTCAGAAGCCACTGTTTGTCTTCTGGATGAGCACACATGTTCCAATCAACAATGCGTGTTCATGGTCAAGCCTGACAGCCATCTTCAAATCCCAGAATCAAAGAGACCTAGGGTACTATTCAAAGTCCCTGTTCCTCAGGTGGATCTCCCAGCCCTAATGCCAAAGAATGAGTGTACCATCCTGTTCTCTATGACCTCACCAGGTAGTATGGTCTTTGGACACTTGGTGACAGATGCTCTTGCAAGAAGGCACCTCGCTGACTCCCACATCCTGGCCTCCTGGGACGAGAGGTTCAAATGGAGGACTGAATATGTCTGGCACTTTTCTGTGAATAGGATTAGCTTCTCCTCATTGGTGGTTAATACTGAATATAAACCCATTTCTGTAGTGGCCAGGATATGACATGAGGAAGATCATTGCATTTTCTCTCAAAAATGCAGGCATTCATATGCACGAAGACCTTGTGTTCTTTTTGGCTAGTCACATAAAGACATTCATCTTAGTATGCCCCTCTCTCTCTCACTTTTTTCCACTCCCCTCTTAACACATCCACTGTAGGAATGTATGAAAGGTGCACTCAAAGGTGCAGGCACTGACCTGAACTGGGCCATCACAGAGGACCACACCCTCGATGACTTTGGTATCTCATCATTCTGGATGCTGGAAAATGATATGTGGTGTGTCATGGTCACCATGAAACAGGATATTGCTGATGAATATTCATTCTGCTTGGAGAGAGCAGTGGTGGAGGTGGCAGTGGAAAAGGAGACAAAAAGGAAAGCCTCATGAATGTCTGAGGAAATGGAGGATGAGGAGTATGAAGATGGGGATGCTTATGATATGAGTGTGAAACAGGGATATTCTCAGTATTGTGGCAGTTATCATTACTAGAGTGCTCGACTATCCTATGCACATCATCAACAATTTGTTATTTCTTGAATTCTTCTGCAAGATCAACTACTTATCTTTTACAACAGAAATCCTATCTGAGATAAGGGCATGATCTTCTGCGATAGTAGAATGGTTCTCAATGAGATGATTGTAGTCTGTCTACATTATATTTACATGATGGGAATCTATCCTGAAGTTTGTCAGCATCGTACACGAGTATTTCTCACTGCCAGACCACTCATTTTGAAAGGTATTTTGTCTGTCGACAATGCAATCAAGGCAATGGATGTTGGCTGCCATGGAATAGTTGTCTCTAATCATTGTGAGAATATAATTCATAGCAATATTCAATGTGTGTTGAACATTTCCTTAGGCAGTTGACAAATTGATGGCTCTATTCTGTCCCTTGTTGCACTAGAAAAGATCACAGATGACCCTCACATTCAAGCTATGCAGATTGAGGGAAATTTTACTATCATTTTTGACTCTAGCATATGGTGAGGTAGTGATATAATTAAGGCCATTGTGCTTGGTGCACAAGCTGTCTTATGTATGTGGTTTCTGATTCTGTTGAGTGTAATTCTCAATCTATCCAGTGGGTTGACCCTACATGTACGGTTTTGCTATTAGCAGCAATCAGGGAGTTCAAGAAGTCATACATGGCATACTGTGTGAAGCTGAAATCACTCTAGGATTGTGCAGGTATTCTAACCTGAGCCAAATATGGGAAAAGAAGAATAAAATCATGGAGAAGATGGACTTGGGTTTCTATTCACCTTAGACTTTAAACATCTGTATTCTGTGGTGGCTGAGAAAAGAATGTATTTCATGGTTTCCAATGATGTGTTGGAATTGGAGGCAACAATTAAACCTTCTCTTCATCTTAGGGTTAAGATGCCAATGCCGCAGAATGGAGTTTACAATCACATATTTCTCACTCCACTCCAGTCATGATGACCTCTTCCCTGAATACATTCTCTTCAGGTTGCATGCTGCCATTCTGTTTTCTTAGTACAGTTGACTATCTCACAATGCATATAGTCAGAAGACACCAAAACTGTATGTGTTTATAGATTTATGCAGAACCAAAATAGCATGTGATGTGACATGTGACTTTATGTGACAACATCATCATTGCCCCAAAATGCTGTCAGTGGCTTTTGGGTCAGCTTTCCATGCATCTCCTTGAATAATGCCTCTCTCAACTTCCTCAGCTGTGGTACTAATCCACCCTGGTCACCTTGTGAAACACAAAATGCCTCCAGCTTTTGAATAAGCTCAAATCCTTCCCTTGTAGTTATCAAGGTCTGTTCTTTCTCACCCTCCTCTTTCTCTTCTTCCTCCTCATCATCATCAATGACAGTTATTTCCCCATTTTCTACTGCAATATCATGCTTGACAGCAGCAACAATCTCCTCATCTGTTGGCATCACCTCAAGATCTTCAGTATACTCTTCTGCAATAGAGTTAACCATCTCTTCAATGGTTGGAATGAGACCAAACATGCAATTTCATTGTTTCAATTCAACAAGATGGTCCTTCAACATTATCTCTGCTGTCTGGAGCTGTTGAATGGAGGCAATTTGGGTGGGAGATGTGTTCATTTTTGACTGTGACAAAGAAGCCAACTGATTGACTGCCTCCAGTGCTTTACCAACATCATTCTCTGCATTCATAACAGTCATAAGAGCAGGACACCAGTCAGCATCAGCATATTGGTTTCCAAGCAGATCCTGCAATGCCTGTTCGATCCCTGGAAGCATGTATTTGTCTGTTGAGGCAAAGTCATGAACAAGGTTCTATGCAGACTTGAGGAGTGAGGCATCTTGAAAATTATTGGATGGTGTGGTAGACTGTGACTTGGGTGCATTGTCAGGCATTATACTGGTGTGTTTCCAGCAGTTTGCTATCGTTTCACTGCTGACATTTGCCCAAGCATCATGAGTGATAGTCATAGCTTCAAGAAGATCAAGCTTGAAGATCTCAGACTCTCCAAGATCATTGAGATCAAGTGCATGGATATACATGGCATTCTGATAATGTGCCTTGAAGCAGCAGATAATATCAGCATCTAGCAGCTGAACATATGGAGTCATATTGGGCTCAAAGAACTCCAGCTTTATGTTATGAAGTGTATAAGCAATGGAATGCCCTTGAAAGTTGTCCAAGGTCAGCAGAACCTGTCATATCTTCCTCTTTATTTTTAAATCAAACATTTTCATCCACTCTGTAAATATTTTGCTCATCATCCAGGCCTTCTTGTTATTCTGATAATAGAATCCTATTACTGTTGGACTCTTTTTTTTAAAACACCATAGTTGCTTTGACTTTCTAATAAAAACAACTGGCATCCACTCACTCTCATCTGCATTCACAGCAAAATACATGGTGATGTGAAACTTGTCCTGTTTCTGTTCACTCATAAGACCAGACACCAAGATACAATCTGGAATAGCAAAGATGACAAGACCAGATTCATTAATATTCTATCTGTCCTACATCACATATTTTATCATAATGCTATAAAGACACACATGTTCTTTCTCCACTGCCACCATATCCACTGAGCCTGCTTCTCCATGCTGCCAAACCTCCTGAATCTTCCATGCCTTGCAGAATGACCTCAACCATCCCTCTCTTTTCAAACACTGATCCTCTGGAATATTCATCAGATTTTCAATCTGATTTCACTTCTCTATCAGCATTGCATCAGTCACAGTCTCATCTCAAAGCTGCATGTTCTGATACCAGGATGCAACAGCATGCTCCACATCAGGTTGGGTGACAATATGAGACTTTTTGGATGATAGTGCATTAGGGTTCTCATTTGCATGCTGTTTGATTTTTGTATGAGATGCCAGTTTCCATAAAAGAGTTGATTGGGTAAAGAGCAGTACACCTTCCTTTTAGTTTGTGAAATGTGCCACAATGTCAGCATGTCAATGGGAAGGATGGTTATCAACATGTTTGAATACTATGAGCCAGTCTCCTGTTGTGAGATGTGGGCAGGAGATCTGCTTTAGAGGCTGAGCTGATGATGTGTACATTGGGACTTTCTCCTTCTGTTTTGTATGCTTATATGGATTTCCAGGTTTAGCATGCAGTTTTTGTGTTGGTTCAGAAGGCATGTTTATAGAGATATAGGCTGTGTCACTTTACAATAATTTTTTTTGTGTTTGTCATAGTCTATACAAACAAATTATGTTCTTTATTGTTCTAATATATGCATAATGTCATATCAGCTTACTATAATTTTTGATCTGACAATGCATATTCCTAACTAGAACCATATGCATTATGCGATATGCATTTCTAGCCTATTTCCCTGCTTCTCAACTGCATTCCAGCCCAATCCATATGCAAAGTCAGAATTATGCATTTCGACATCATGCATTGTGAGATAGTCAACTGTATTTGGAAAAGTTAAAGCTATTGTGCATACAATCAAATTTTAAAAATATGGACTTCCTCATATGTATCTTCTGATTTTTTTAGATTCTGAATACAAAATCCATTCTTTGCTAATGTTGATTCAGTTTCATCTGCTTAAATTTCAGATCCTGAAACATATCCAATTCTTTATAAGATTGTCACCAGATGTATAGTTTATAGTCCCTGTGATAATCACTGCATGAAAGATAGTCACTGTATAAAAAACTATTGAAAAGAATTCAATGATTATACTGAATTCACTACCAGTGATGGATATCCTAATCTGGCACATCCTAACAATGGTCATGAGTATGTTAAGATGAATGGTTAAACATATACTGTCTACACCAACTATATATTGTTTTATATAATATTTATCTTAATATACATTATAACTGTCACATCAATATAGAGGTTTGTGTTACTGTCAAGACTATCAAATATATTCATAAATATATTTACAAGGGTCATGTTATGATTTTTCCCTTTTTTTTCTTGAATAACCCCTATTTATGCTTAGTCAGAGCATCTAGACCAGTGCTTTGGACTGTGGGACAGGCTTAGTCATCATAATAGGCTGAGTCTGCTATTGTCCTTCAATGTGATGATGACCCTCAATAATGGACAATACTCTTTTGTAGATAGTAATGATGCTCAAGAACAAAGGGCACTATAATGTAGAAGCTCACAATTAGTAGGAATATATTTAACTCAAGCCTGAACAGTATATAAGTAGTGTAGCTCTTGCTGTATATCTTCAGCTTTAAGCTAAAGTTTATTCTTCTACCACTTCATCTTGAGCCAATCACCTTTGGCCTTGAAGCACTAGATTTGCAAGCACACACAAGTGAACTCTAGTGTGACTGTATAAACTTGATATAGTGCTAGTTTATTATATGTTCAGATCACATGCAACTTGGGCTTAACAATTAGCTTGAAGCTTACACTTCCCTTTTTTTACACATATTAGCATGAAGAAAACTGAATGCCACTATCAAATACATCAACCCCTGATCTCACTGATGACTTCTTCAAACTATTGGCTTCTATTATTGAAACACTTCTAAGTTTACTTGCAATCATCCAACTTTGTTGAGGATGACAATCAATAGCTGCTTGGATAGTCAGGCACTATCAAGCTTTCCAACAGGTATAACAGATTCTATAAAATGTTATGCCTGACCTCCTCTTCTATGACATCCTTATCTCTGCCCAAATGTTCTTTCAGCCTGCCTTTGGAATTATACCCAAAGTCCAGCCTGATGGCTCAAATCTGAGAAGTGATATAGAGAAAGAAGAACACTGATATCCCTCTTGACTCTCTCAACCAATTAACAGAAACAGCAACACTCAGCACACTGGGTTCAGAAACTCATGGATACTGACACACTTTTCTCTAGTCTCAAACCATGAAAATAAAAACCTCTCTGACAACTTCTTTAACAATAAGCCATCTCCTAACCCTT